TTTTCTCTTTCGACTTTTCTTTTCTCTAAAAAAAAATTATTATATTTAGAGATGTTTATTTAATTCATAGAACTAAAATATATAATTTTAATAAATCATTTAATAAAACTGGAGCCCTCTATTTGTTGAATGCTACATTAATAAATGGTAATTTTTAGTCATTTAAATTTGAAGGTTTCGGATCTCTCTAATTTGAATGCCACATTAATAAATGAAACTTTTTATTTTTATTTTTTAAATTTAATATCATTAATTAGCGTTGGACTTTTTATAAATTTTGAAATTCATTTCTGACTTTTGAAATTAGTGTCGTAAATTTCAAACATAGGAAAAATGAATATATATTTAAACATTTTTATTGCTTTTTCATAAATCAAAGTTGAGTATGAATGAAGCAGATTAATATATTTTAGTTTATTTATAAAAATTATATTATTAACTTGTTTTAGGTATAAAAAATAATTCTTTTCCTAATATCCATAAACTCAAAATAATATTATATTAGATTTAACTCCTCACCCTCTTGGTGTAAATAAATTTTAAAATATTTAAACAGAGTTAAGAGTTAAAAGAAAGAATAAGAAATAGAATTGGGATCAAAGGTTCAATCTTCATCATATTCACAACATTTAGATAGGATACAAGCGGACAATTAATACCTCAGAATATAGAATAAAATAAAATATATTAATCAAATATAAAGGGCTAATTTGAAAATAAAATAAAATATACTAATCAAATATAAAGGATAAGGAAAATATAATATACTACTAATCAACAAAAATATTAACAGATTAGGAATATATAACAGCTATTTTTACTAATTCAAACTTACAAATGCCTTAGTTGTTCGGGAGGATTTCTTTACTTTACGCATGAAGATGTTTACCACCACTTTCCTTGATGTTTGGGGATGGTGAGGGCTCGACTAAGATCTGTAGGAACTGCAAGACCAGTCTCCCTACCCTTGTCCTTATCATACGCCCTGCTAGAGGCCATAGCTTTCTCGCTCGCCTGTGATCCTTTTCGTTGTTGATCGAATTTCAAGTCTCGCCCTTTCCTATGAATTTCTTCATGGTTCAAAGTATCAAATTTCCCACGAGATAAATTCAAGTCTCGCCCTTTCTCGCTCGTGATCCTGGAAAGCTATGCACTCTCTCTACTCCTCATTAACCTCGCCTTCCTCTTCTCTTAATCCTCACTTAGACCACAGGAACTCAATTGGGGATTGATACTTTCTACAGGTTTAAATGACTTTCAATACTTGGCAGATCTCAAATCCGGGTTTCCTTCATCTAGGTCGTTCTTCCTCTTTATCACGCAAATTTTCCCTATTTCCTCTGATTTAATCTTCTGACCAACATTAACATCGTAATACTCCCCATTGGATGATGGGCAAGTTATCCCTTCAGAGACGCAGGAACCACAATTTCCAGAACCCGAGCTCTGAGACGACGCCGGCTCGCTTGAGAACTCCTAATCACTACCACCACCATGCTCCGGAGAGGGACAATTCACAATCCTCGAATCCTTCGAGTCCCAACCTCCAAAATCAGTCGAAAAGCAATCACTATTCGCATTTAGTATTTTCGAAGCTTGACAGTTAATAAACTTACCATCATTGGGGGACTGCTCAAAAGAAACCACAGAGCTCCCCAATCCCGGGGATGCTTCAGACCTGCAAATGCGAACACCAGCGCCGTTAGCAGTAGTATCCAGGCCAAGCTAGGGCTAAGAATCAATAGCCGAATCTTGCGAATTGGTAGGAAATTGTCAGCCTCAAATGGGAGGTAAAGATCATCAGGATCATAAAAAATGAGCTCAAAATCATCATTTTCTTCAAATCACAAGTTTGAAGGCGTGGAATAAACCGAAGGGTTGTCAAGGACGGCAGAATTAGCATCAGAGAAAAAGAGAGAGTCTAGAGGCAGAATTTGGAGGGAATCAAATTCATAAGCGTAAGTAGTGGAATTAGGATTTTGATCATCTATAACGACATCATCTTGATGTATAGTTGAAGTCACTTTTGTTGGCTGATCAACAACCTCAATAGTTAAACAGTGTTCCTAAATTGGATCGGAAGAATTTGAAGAATTTTTATTTTCATGTGCAACATTTCCTTTTGATTCTTGCATTTTGACTCGGCAATTTGGCTTAATATGGTCTGGCTTTCTGCAACGATCACACACCACTTTCACCCGACAATCTCGTTTAAAATGACCAGATTTTTCACACTTCTAACAAACTTTAAATGGCTTCTTTGACAACTCATCATTTCTTAATTGATTCCCACTGCTTGATGAAGGCTTTGAATGAAAATTCTGTCTACTTTGATCTTTGACGTACGAACACATCTTCTGACTTTGGGGAAAGATCATTTTTGCTAGTCATTTGCTTAATCAAAGCTTCTTGATTAGATAACAAATTCTCCAATTCAATAACTGTAGGTTGATTTGTCTACCCTTGTATTAAGGAAATAAACGGCATAAAGTATTTTCGTAATCCACGAATAAGATAACGTCGCAATCGAGCATCACTCACTGGTTCCTCATGAACTCCCTGCTCATCATACTGTGCACATTCGCACCCATCATCATATTGTGTGCGTCCGCACTCCTCATCTCTAGGGGAAGTAGCCCTATGCTTATGAATATACTATATGCATGAGGTCCTTATAACGTCCGTCTTATCATCTCTTCTAACACAACTCTCAAGTCTCATCTCTTTGTTACATTAAGTAACACATACTAATGGATATTTATATTAATATCATTTCATAGGATTGTGTCCTGTGTCAATCTAACGACATGATGCAATATGACACTTATCATCATATAGCATGCTGAATATGAAAAACATCATCATATTAAGGTAAACGTCATGCAATCATCATACTCATCATATTGTCATAAAGTGCATCAAGCATATCAAGTATGACATTCATCGAAATATATATACTCTATGCACATCATCGAACATCATAACTCATACATCATCATATACTAGTATACGACATCATACGATACAATTCATGCATCATCATAACTCATACAATTTTTAGTCTATCCTATAGTAAGGTCACTTACTTGGTTGCCTTAGCCAAATACTCCATAATTTAATTTACGTAAGCTTCCGTTCCTCGAGAGTTGCTCCAAAGGTTACTAAGATTCATTTTCCTTCTCTTTATTATACCACTACATTTTTCTCACCGTAACCATATCTCTTTCCATTATTTGCTTAACCTTTCTCTTACGAGCGAGCAATCTTTTCTTTCTGTTTTTTGTTTTCTTTTTTTTCTTTTCTTTCTAAAATAACTACGGCCATACAGATAGGTCCTTGCCACAGTTCTCATGCATACTGACAAATAATCCTCTTTAGTTTTCACACGTATAAACTCATAATATTTCATTACCCTAAAATGATTTCATTGTATTCACTCGTTCCTCGACCGGTATCTAACCTATACATTTAGCATGATTTGGGAATGTTAGTACAGTTCTGTAAACTTTTGTTCAAAGAGAAATGAAGTTGAACCAAACATTAAACACCAAGTTAGAATTATGGGACGTGATAGTCATGCTTTGATGCGTTATTAATCAATGGGTTTATTCCATTTAGAGCGTGAGAGAGGAGATTGTGGTGTGAAATATGAGAAGAAGTTTAGGGTTAAAATAAATATTATATTTCTTAACTCATGTCGTAACCTTCTTCAAATGTAGAGGATTTGACGACATGTCGTTTACATTTCTTTTTTCCCTTTTTGTTTTTTTAATTAAATTTCAAATAAGTAGACGGCCACGCGCGTAGAACCTCAAAATTGACAGTTAACAGCCTGCCTGACGCGCGTCCCTTTCACACGTATCTTTCTTTTCCGTACTTTCCTTTTCTTCCTAATATTTATTTATTTATTTATTTTACAATTTCTCAAACATCTTCTAAAGATGCATGGAAAATAATATGTAAGAACTTCCTAATAAATATATATTAAACGATTAAGAGGATCACATTATAACATTTTAACCTCAGCGACAAAAAGGTAAAAATCATGCACAAACCAAGGAGTGCGCCTGCGTCTTTCAACGAGAACACCGAAAAAGTCTAATTCAGCTCCACGTAAGATAACCAAAGTACGGTTGAGCAATCGACAAGATATATTTGCTCACATTCCAGACGAACGTCATAATTTTAACTCATTTGTTGCATTCGATAGATAGCAATTTAGTCGACTTAGCTCAATTTTCTCCGAAGCACTTTTAACTATTAAACTCTTTGTATATAAGAATCAACTTCAAAATTACATTGTCAATGTGAGCTCAAATCTCGAGTTTGTTGAAACAAAAAGTGCAAGCGCTATTGCACTAAAAATAGTTCTAATAAATAGAGATTAAGTCTATCTAATAGTTTCACAAATGTTCACATTGACATCTACAGAGAACACTTTCTTTTCTGTGATACATGTTGTGAAGACTTGATCGCATAATCGAACGAGAGATCAATGGATAAATGGTTGTCTCATAGCATATATTAACAAAGATTTACGTGCCAAGTTTAGACGATAAAATTATCATGGATTGATTTTAGAACAATAGAACCAAACATAAGATACCTTGAACACTTCAAATAGTTACTGAAAGATTTCCTGGAGAGGTAATAAAAACTTTCGAAGCATGCAAGTGTCGTAAGTTGGGGCTGTATAAATAACACATCCCCACCACGTATACAATACAGTTTTATTCAAGAATAAAATCTAAAAAGATATTAATAATGTTGTCATGCGAACCTTTGAACCAATCAAATGTCATTTGTTTACAATAACATAGAACCCAGAAATTGAGAGAGACAGCATCAGTACCATAGCAGTTTTAGTAGTGAACTGATGAGCAGTGCACTCATAGTTCATCACCTAATCCACCTCTCCAGGCATGAGAACTTACTGCTACTACTGATGTTGCAGCCATCAGTAGTATCGATGTTCCAAGTCCAGGAAAGCTTTTCCAATGTAGCCAAAGCACAAAGGAAGAAATTTTAATTATCATACCAGAAACAAATTCCAGATAAGCCTTTGTTCAAATAATACAATCCAACACCTCAAAAATTCGAATTTAATGTTAAAGCTACAACATTACACAGAAACTCGTGCACATACACCCTGAAAGTACAAGTAATACATTTTATGCCCCTATCTGTGTGCCTTTCAAATCACAACCTCCGTCTTTTTTCGGTATCATTCATGCATTGTGCACAAAGGAAAGCAAAGAAAACAAATCATACTATACTATACTAGGGGGATCACCAGCCCACCTACAAATGGCTCGAGCCCAGCGTGTTCGGATGCAATCAACCAGCGGGGCATGTTGAGATGGTTCTGGTTTAGAAACCTCGACATCTTTACCAGAAGACTCGTTTCCTCCCGAGGCAGATGAAACAGCTACATCTGCCATGAATTCCTCTGGAGTCCACCTTGGTGGAACCGAAACCCTCAATTTGGTGAGCCGAGGTCTTTGTATTGCAGTCTCACCTCCACATCCAAATTGGTTTCCGTTCAAATCGGACTTGGCAATCCCATTAAAATGGTAAAGATCAAACACTTTTTTACCCATCAATCCTGTCGAATCCTTCAGGCCTCCGAAGTTTTTGTCCAAGTCCAGAATTACCTGCCAGAATTCACTCCACACTATAAATCCTGTACTGCAAAGATGATCAACTTTCTCAGGTTGAAGTTTGATATTGGTTTCCCTGAGAACTAGATGAAATCCTTCTACACTGATGAAACCACCACCTCCACTCTGGTCTTGGGCGTCAAATGCTTTTCGTATTTGTGACTCCCTTTCTTCCAGTTCATTCTCATCCTGTACCGAGGTGTCGAGAGCAAAAAGAACCGTGTAGTGTGACTCACTCCCAACCACCCATATGGGCCATTTTGGGCATTTAAGAAATTGGCCAACTTTACAGAAATTGAGAGATTCCAAAAGTGTGAGGAACCCAACTTCCACGCTTTTAGATATACCTTTTAGGAACATCCCACCACCTAAGTCCATCCTTCCATCAAACACATTAGGAACGGCTTGTCCACAGAGCAGTAGGTTCACAATCTCCTGTTTCATGATAATATAAATTGCATAAATATCGTACAGAAACCAAAGGAAATTACATAATTCAATAATAAAAAAAAATGCATATCAAAGAACCTGTGAGGCATGTCCAAATGGAGCAGTGACAAGAGGGAGGCTTGGATCATCCCTGTCCGCTTGTACCATATCCTACAGAAGTAAAATTAAACTGGCATTCACAACATAAAGATCCTAAAGAAAATCATCAGAAACTATCATCCATAATGCAAAGTTCAATTCACATATCAATATTTTCCCTCCACAGAAAGAAATGACAGAAATTGTTAAGTTTGTGGAGAAATACAAAACCAATAATTAGGACAGGCACTTGTACATCATATAAATTTTATTTCAGCACATGACGACACAAATACATTCATCACCATTTTTGCAGAGTTCTATTAAAGACATGAGCATGATAAGACAAAATGGATAAGCATTGTACTACCAAATCCCTCCTCTTATCTATTTTTCTTCCCTTTTTGGATAAGAAACAGTTTCATCATGTTTTGACTTTCTAGAATATCTAAGTTCTAGCCACCTTCTACAGCAAACGAACAAGTCTCAATTTCAATAATAAAAGAACCATATCAATTTGTTGGTCCTAAATCTTATATTCACATGAAAATTCAAGTCCCATTACTAGTTGAATGAACAGGATCTAACAAAAATACCAGTCCTCGCGAAAGTAAAGCAGAAATCAGGAATAGCAGGGCGCCCATACGACTCTGGAAGACAGGAAGAGCTGCATCAAGACTCTGAAATGCACTTTCCTGTGATGTGCACGTGGTGACTCTCAGCACTTTCTGCAAATCCGAGCCTGATTCAATTGAAAGACCTTCAAATGCATTTGACATTATCTGTGGAACAGAAAAATATAAATCACATCAAGAATAAAACTAAAAACAAGCTCTTGATGGTCCAACAAGAAAGTGCAATCACTGGATTCAAGCATGACCAACTGATTCTCAGAACACATCAATATCGAGCTAAATCTAATATACCTCGTTTCCTGGACTGTATCCAAGTCCTTCAGCACTGTTTTGGGGCACACTTAAAGTTGCTATTACAGCATTTCTATTAGCTCCACATAGAAACAATATCTCACCCATGCTTCTGATCAAAGCCCTGCGAAAAGAAGTTTACATCCCTTTAGACAATTTCTAAGCATTTAACTTTTGACCATTATCCTAAAAAAAAAGTGATAATTTCTAGGGCAGTTGCATATAAATTTCTGTTGTGACTTACAATTTCTATTAAGTAAAAAGAAACCTTTTGAGAAATTGGTATATTTATTTCAAGTAAGAAATTGAAACCCTTATTTGCCTGGATTGGTTCCAGAATTCCTTGATGATGTGATGGAAATAGGAAAACATTGCCTATGATTAAGACCATGCCTCCAAGATAAAGAATTCAATCTCAAGAGAAGTACAGTTTTACCCCATGCAGTTTTCCCATGGTATATAGTGTTACACATGGTGTGACACTTTCCACGACAAAGAATGGTTTCTACAAATATAAACACATGCACATGTACAGTGTGCCCGCAGTCATGCATGTTATGTGTATAAATGTTTAAAATAACTAAAGGTAGCCTTAAGACTTTATTTTCTTTTATTCCGAGGCACTGCATAAGCCTTGGGATGAGGCAAAAAATTTAATTTGGATCAAAATGAGTTGGCCTAATCATTACACAAAGCATATAGCTCCAAACTTCAGCACATTTGTATTCTTAAGCATGCCCGAGTGTTTAACACTCATTAAGGACTTGGAAGGATTATTTTGCACCTGTTTATGCAAAATGCAGGATGGGTAGATTTCTGACCTTAACTAGTTTGTACAATATTCACGGTTGTGATATGTGGAACACCAGCTTCAGAATATCAAAAGTAAAAAAACACATCAATATATTGTTATGCACAATGTGGAGCGGGTGGGTTTCGACTTTAACAAGTTTTGTACTCAAGATTCTAATGCATGTATTATACGAAGGGACATGGCCTTTCATATGGCACTTAAATTATCCTCATCCATTAAAATAAAATGCAAGAGATGAGAAACTCATTGCTGGAAAGATAATTTCTAAGCTTAATGAGAAACCTTGAAACTCCAAATGGTGGCCAGAAAATGATATAATACATAAAAATTGCAACTAAATATGCATATGTACAAGAATGCATGTATTGAAGGATCTAGCTTGCTGAAGTACACAAGTTCTTCAAGCAGGAAAATTAACAAACTGAACACCAACACCAACATATTTCCATCGAAACATTTGAGCCTCTACCAAACCTGGAAAAGAGATTATTTACCACACAAAGATTAATCACCTTCTTTTCACATCTTCAGTAAGAGCAGCAAAATTATTTGATGCAACACATTCACTTTTAGACAATCTACTTGAACCTGAATTCTGTGCCAAATTTGATGCAATTTTACCAAATTCGTGGGGAAAGAAAAGAATGTTCTTCAGAACAAACGCCTGTAATGACAAAACCAAATAGGCATAAATAAAATTAATTATAGACCAAGCCATGAATGTAAATTGAAAATATCAGACAATTAAGATGGCACACAATCAAAATAAAGACTGCAATAATACCGAAACAGTAGATAAAGATGTCATCAAATTATCAAATTATCTAAAAAGTAGATTCATTTGTATCATGCAAAATGGAAATATTCAAAAGAACGTAAAGTAATCCCTACAAGTCCCATATTTAGCTATGCAGTCAAGAGGAGTCTATTTAATCAAAATCCTTAATGAGTTAACCCCAAATTTGGCAGCCACAACTCTTCGACATATAGGTCTTTTTTAAGAGTGAATCTTCATGGATATTTTACAAGAAGGGCAAGATTCTTACTATGAAGATTACTAAAACCCAATCCTCTAAAGGCATAGGAGGTTTCAACTTGTTCCAAGCTACCAAATGGGATCCACCATTGGATTCTTTATTACCCTAGTGGAAGTCCAAGCACCACTTAGATTTTTCAGTAATAGACAGAACACCTTCTCAGGGAACCAAGACATGAACATGTAAGGCATGGGTAGGTCAAGAGAGAGGTCTATAAAAGTACGGACATTCTGCCTCAGGAGAGCAAAATCCGTTTCTAGTTTGAGGCTTATTAAGAATTTTCACAAAATAACCCTATAGAACTTGGTACTTTAAGGTTCTCCATCACGAGGACGCCATACATAAACCATAGGCCAATGTTCAACCCCACAACCCACCCAATCTACCAAACCACTAATACCAGTAGTTGATACCTTCAATTTTAGACTTGTGAGGTTAATGTTAAAGACAGAAGGTGCCTCAGAAACTTTAATAACGTTAAATAAATTAAACTTTTCCATGTTGATGAAGGAGAAGAGAATGGTGACATCATTAGACTAAATGTTATTGATAAGAAGCTTTTCCCTACATTGAATCACTCCAAATGGCCAAAATCAAGGCCTCTAACAAGTAATCTGCTACAGCAATCAACAACGCCATGGAAAAGGGAGGTGAGACTTAACAGCCTATCTAATTTTCTTTGATTATAGAGTTATTCCATTCTCCATTAATAATACTTGAGAAGTTTGCACTAGAATGACATGTTATCCACGTTCTCCAACAAGAGCTAAAGTCTTTTTAACTTCTAAAATGTCTATTACAATTCTAATCTGCCTTATCGAAAAGCTTCTCGAACCTCAAGATCAAGGTTGATAACTTCTTTTTCTTTCTCTTCCAATCATCAATGAGTTCCTTTTCAATTAAACAGGAACAAACAATTTTCTTTCCATCAACAATTAAAGATTGGAAATCAGTGAAATGCAGTAGGGACTTGGTAGGACTATTTTTATTCTTTCAACCAGAACATTGGAAATGACTTAATAAAGGTGAGTGATGAGACTAATATAGGTCCACTCTCTTAGGATCTGCTTTTTAAAAGATAAGGTAGATGTAAGTTTCATTTATACTGGCGATCATAATTCAAATTAGTGTTTTTATCTCAGCCATTTCATCTTGCATTTCTTTTTCTTCAAATTTTCCTCTTTACAAAGCAAATAGTTAACCCCACATTTAAGAGTTATCTGATATACTCTTCAATCATCAAGCACAATATCGTCCACAAGATTATCCAAATGTTTAAGATTATCAATAATAGCAAGTATAAGTAACAATGTTTCCTTACATTTCCTAGTTCCACAAATATTAAAGAGGCTTTGAAGAATTCTCTTCGAAGTTCTACCCCAACCTTTCAAGTCCTCACATTAGGCACCAAATCCACTAATTCTTTTTTTCTACCAGAACAATACATCGTATAAAAGTTCGAATCATACACTATACTCAAATAAAAATAGAAAAAATAATGCAAATTTTGAAATAAAGATAGAAATAGTAGATTTAAAAAGAAAAAAGAAAAAAAGAAAAAAAAAAAGACAAAATAACTTCTGGATTAGAAAAATTATAAAAACATGAAGGGAAGTTTTGGTGTTTCTTCCTCTCGATTCTGAGTTTTCTCTAGCAATGGAGTGACTTAACTATTATTTTTCATTTGTGATTCTCAATAGTCTTTTGTCATTCTTTGAAGTTATTTCTGGTCTCAAGATTAAGGGGCAACATTCTTTTTTTTTTACATAAGGACATGTGAAAAACAAACCCAACAAAAGAACGGTAGAAATTATATAAAGGGACTCCAATCTAACAAAATCAAACCGAGCTCATAATTACAAAAAAAAAAAAAAAAAAAAAAAAAAAAAAAA